GAGCTGAGCAAGTGTTAGAGAAGCACTGAGACCAAACTAGTCCCAAACCAAAACTCTCTCCCTGATCCATACAGGATAGAAAAAGAATTAAAAACCGGAACCACCATGTGAAGGTGAGCAATTCTTTAATGCCCTGGTCTTTGTTCAGAGGCATTCTAGTCCACATTTTTGAAAAGTAACATGATAAAAAGTGCATGGAACAGAGTCTGGGTTCGAGCTTGGTTTCCAAGCACCTGAATTGGTTTGGTTTAATAAGTCATTCTTCTATCTAGCAACCCTGCTTCACAGACTCATTTTTTTCTTATTTAGAAAATGGGGAAATTGGTCGTTTTACTCTGAGAGTTTACACCTTTTTTTAAACATTTATCTTTAGTCTCATTTATTTATTTTTTAATGTGTATTTTTAGTTGTAGTTGGACACAATACCTTTATTTCACTTATTTATTTTTATGTGGTGCTGAGGATCGAACCCAGGGTCTGGCACATGCAAGCCGAGCACTCTACCGCTGAGCCACAACCCCAGTCCCTAGTCTCATTTATTTTTGAGACATCCATTCATTCAGCAAAATGTTTGGAGCCCTCACCTGGAGTTAGGTTTGGGGAATATGGGCATGAAAACACCCACGCTCTCATGAAGTTAATGATCTTCCTTTCTCTCTTAGCACTCGTCCCCTTTTAAACGACAGTGAGTTTTAAATCTATATTCTGGATTTCCAAAGACTTAATAAAACTAAAGGTAAGTACAGTTTGAGGAGTATTTGAATCCAGAGCTTTTAGACCATCCCTCCTACCACCACCCGCTGCAGACCTCCCATCCAGGGAAGAATGCCATGGCAGTTTCCCAGACGCCCACTAGAGGGCGCGCACATTTTTCTATTCCCAAGGAAAGCAGCTGCGTGGGTTCTACCCCTGAGGTTTGCAATTGGTGTCTGTTTGCCCACTTTCTACGCAACGTGGGGCAAGTGTGGTGAGTCCTCCAGTTCCCTCACTCCACCAACTCATCCTTAGCCCCATGCAGTGACTCCTCCTCTGCCATCACGAAGAATTCCTTTGCTCACAAAACCACAACAATTTTGTTTCTGTTTCCAGCATTTATCCTTTTGACATTTAGAAGAAATAAGATCCAAGTTTAATGTTGAAAAGAAAGCATTGATTTCTTTAGTGAGAGGATTTCTCCTCCCTATTCCCGTTTTCCCTAGCTGTGGGGAAAATGCTCCTTTAAGCAGTTAGAGGGGCCCCTTTGAGCTGAAGAAGGTCTTTTTGGGGAATAACTGGACCCTTCCAAGCAGATCTTCTGAAGCTGACAGGACTCCACGTGGCTTGTACCATGTTGAATTTGGGGCGAGGCGGGGGTGGGGGTGGGGGTCCAGCATTACCCCTGAGTTTTGCTGTGCGCATCAACAAACTCTTCACCTCAAACATTGGCGAATACACCCCCAGAACAACCCTCCCCACAAACCAAGATCCAAGAGAAGTGCCAAGAGTTCCCCCAAAGTTCTTTGCCTGGTGGGTTGCTTTAGAACCGTAGACCCCATCCTTTATTGGATGCTAAAGAATCTTTACCTCCAAATCTCTATCCTGAGCTTTTCTTAGGAGTCAGCAAAAAAACTATAAGGAAATAAATTGTAAATATGCTCATCTCCACCTGGGTGTGAAATAACCTTTAGGATGAGCTCCTCTCCGGGAAACAAAGGGAAGATTGGGAAATATGGCTTAAGCAGAAAGAAGAGGGACAGGTCTTGTCACCCCTTTCTGTGACCCTCAGACAGCCTACCCTTTCTGAAAATGAACAACTTTATTTTTTTTTTTATAGAAAGGTGTCAGAAGTCTTCTGAAGCTGCAGCTTTTATGCAAATATACTACTCAAGTAGAAGACTGTAGGGGAGAGTTATTTATATCCCACAGGCATTACACATGCAAAAGGTGAAACTGTGAATCTCTGAATTTCCAGGAGTGGATGTTCTCATGATGAGCACATCCTTGCAGTTAGCTATTTTGGTTGGCACACAGTTCCCATATCTGCCAGATTTCTTTCCCAGACAGGAGACTGCATAATCATTCCGTAATTTTAGACTGACCCTGGATATTTCTCTCCAGTGGGATTTCCTGACCTGAACTTTGCCTGGGCATTAGATTTACTACCACCTTGGACTCGGGTAATAGGTGCATTCATTTCTTTCTTTCTTTCTTTCTTTTTTTTTTTTCCTAAACGGGTACAGAACTCCTCAGTCATTAAAAAGTAATAATGTGGCCCATTATTGCCCCTTTGTTTCATATTGAGTCCTGGAATTAGGAAAGAAAATGGACATTTCTCTAGGAATGATTGCCCTGCTCTGTTGCTGGCTCAACCTCCCCCAGAAATATAGACTATTCTCCAAATTGAAATATACGTTAATCACTTCAGGAAATTGCTTCCCCCATTGGAAACTGATAGCTCACATCGGAATGTTTCCAAAGCACAGCTGATGACAATTACGACTCTCTGAAATTTCAGTTTTCTTTGATTGTGACATAAAAACTGGGACATAAATTAAAACTCAATTATCCTTTAAGGGTAATTGGGGTTATAAAACCAAGAGAGTCCATGTGTCGATATCGCAGGAGGGCAGCATCTGGTGGAATGGTATATATTCTGTCCCCAAAGCGGCCTTTCAGACAGAAATGGTTGAGGATAAGGTAATCTGTGCAGAGCATGTGCCAAGAAAGCACATCAGACGGGGTCACAAACTTGGAGAAATTTAGTGAGCTTCTAGAACATCTTGGAACAATTAAAGCATGTCAAAACAGCACTGGGGGGGGGGGGGGAAATCAAGTGCTGTCTCACCTGTGAAGGTGCCCGAAGGTGGAGCAAGGGACACAGCACGGAGACTGCAGCCTAATTCTGACTCTCCACACTTGAAAGTGAGGAGTTTCTTTCTCACCTGGGAGAGAAGTGAGATCAGGGGTTTTTGCTTCTATATAATCTATATCATCACAGTCCATAACAGGAGGATGGATTTTGTGGGGTTTTTTTTTTTTTTTCTTTTTTCATGAGGGGCATGATCCGCAAAAGCTGCAGAGAAAAGTAAAATATGTTTGGTAAATTAAGTCATAAATCAAGTGCACAAGGAGAGCTTGTTAAAGGAAGCTTTGGATTATTCTTTAAGAGCAGGGATCACCACACAGCTGCAGATGTTTACAGGGCCACCTCTTGAGGATGCATCTTTGTGTGTTCTTCAGGTCAAATCTTCTCTGCTGAAATTTCCTAACCTGGTACCACCCCCAAAAAATTCTCATAGCACAATCCCTCCTTCCCCAATCTGGATTTGCAAAAAAGGTTTCACTTCCCTGTCTTCCCAGAAAATTTGCTGCTCCTTTTCACTGTGAAGTGTTCATGGTTTTAAAAGAGCACATATTCACCACATGACAGTGAGATTTTCCTCTCTGTCTGCCTCTCTGTCTTATTCCTCTTTGTTTCTCTGGGGATGTGTGCAGTTGGGAACATAATAGTTGCTCACAAAAATGAGCTGAATATCATGCACCATTGCAACAGGAGAACTTCAGGGAGCTAACTTTTATTTTTGAAAGGTAAACATTGAGGTATTAACCGCAGAGCAGATTTCCCCAAGCCCAATTCCCTTTCAAAACCAATCAGGTTTTCCTCTGAGGGCATCCACCTCTATAGCCACAGGACAATGTAAAAAGCCAGACTACAGTTTCTAGCAGACCTCTCTTTTCAGTGGATGGTTCAGTATTGTCACGTCCCCTGAGAATCAGGAGAGAGAGAGAGAGAGAGAGAGAGAGAGACAGACACAGACAGAGAGTCAAGGTCCACCTAATTTCTGCCCTTCCTGGGAAACCGTGCCAGGAGGGATATCCAGGGAAAGTGCTGTGTCTGATCTGGGCTTTTGCAACCTTATTTCATAACCCATTTTCTTATCACTGCCTTATGAAGCCAAAGAGAAATAGGTACAAATTGTATTGACAAAATATCACAAGTTGATTCTCCATGGCAAAGGCAAGTATACATTATAAATAGCAAAACAGCTGGCTTGGACCCTGCTGCCGGCCACTCACGCAGTTGAGGGATTTGAATGACATCATAACCCTTGAGAGGGTATTGCTAGCCAGCTGGTGCTATTTAGAAATTTAGAATACACAACAATTAGAGAAAGAAAACGGCACCCTCTCCCCCCACACACACACACACTCCCCACACACGCAGAGGTTCAAGTTATGCAGAAATTATAAACAACAGGAAAATAGCTTGTCCCTCAGGTGCTCTCTCCTGGAGAGTGGGGAAGGTGACGGGCAGCCAGCCTTTAAGAGTGAAGAAAAAGATTTTATTTTTCAGTTGATTTTACAGCTCAGCACCGTCTTTGCCTCTTTTGCTAGCAAAAAGCATGGAGACAATGTTCTGAAAGGAGCCAATCCAAAGCTGCCTGCCCCTTCTGTAGGTTTTAGGATATGAGCTCATTCCCCTCACTTGGCAACTAGGACAAGGGGTCACTCGATCTCCGTCTTCCAACCTAAGTTTACCCCAGTCATTGCAGGGTTAAAATTGTAGGATTTGCTAGAGATGGTCTTTTCCTCCTTTCTTCTTTTTCTTTGGAAAAAAAATTAGAAGCATTTGCTTTAAAATATAAAATTGCTCCCCTATCGCCGTTTAATTGTGGTAAGGTGTATTAGCAGACGTGTGTGTCTTCATGCCTGGTAGAAAGTTAATCAGAGAACAAATTCTTATTTTCTATGGCAGCATAAGTATTTTCATGTCTGCTAACCCTGTCACTAACACACATTCTTTTAAGGGAAAAAAAATGCTTCTGTGCTCTAGTTTTAAAATGCAAAGGTATGATGTTATTTGTCACTATGCCCAAAAAAGTCCTTACTCAATAACTTTGCCAGAAGAGGGAGAGAGAGAGAAGGCAAATGTTCCCCCAGCTGTTTCCTGTCTCAGTGTCTGTGTTTTGTAGATAAATGTGAGGATTTTCTCTAAATCCCTCTTCTGTTTGCTAAATCTCACTGTCACTGCTAAATTCAGAGCAGATAGAGCCTGCGCGGTGAAATAAAGTCCCTCAAAATTGAAATGTGACATTGCTCTCAACATCTCCCATCTCTCTGGATTTCTTTTTGCCTCATTATTCCTGCTCACCAATTCATTTCCAGACTTTGTACTTCAGAAGCAATGGGAAAAATCAGCAGTCTTCCAACTCAATTATTTAAGTGCTGCTTTTGTGATTTCTTGAAGGTAAATATTTCTTACTCTTTGAAGTCATGGGGGAATTTTATTTAAATTGTGTGCCGTTTTTTTTTTTTTTTCTTCTGCCTAGAACTGTTATTCACTTTAGAATTTTCATTGTTTGGGAACTGGGAGATATTTATAAATTGCTGAATATGCAATTCTGTGGGATCTGAGAAAATAGCTCCGGGAGATGGATGCATTTGCACAGATAACTGTATGAGTAGAAACTATTGCAAGGTACTTATGCTAAATCCTCCACTTCTGCAGGGCTTTGGTGGTGTCATTTTGGAAGATTCCTTTAAATCCTGCCTATGGCTAAGGGCTATAGAGCATCCATAGGAACTTTGGGATTTTTTCTTTCTTTTGCAGGTGCAGATGTTTTATTTTTAAGACCGTGTGAGTGTCTGTGTGTGTGTGTCTGTGTGTATGGGGGAGAGAGAGAGAGAGAGAGAGAGAGAGAGAGGGAGAGAAGGGGAGATTTGTCAGGACTTTACAAGGCATGCCACAGACGGAGAGCTATATTTTAGATGATATTAAAGCTTTTAAATATGATCTTTAAAGCTAAAGACCCGGAACTCTCTGCACTTATGCCCAGAGAGTCAAAGTTAGAGTGAAGTTTAATTTGCTCTTTGGAAAAAGAACTCCGTGACAGTGCTTGCTTACCTTTCATAGTCACATAATTTAAACAAACGCATACTGGATATGGAAAGCAGAAACTTTCTAGCAGCTGCTAGTCTGACTTTTTTCTTTTGAAGAGGATTTCCCCGGGTGAAGTTTGGACCCCGGGGTTTTGTGTTGTAAAGCTCGGATTTTTATGCTCGGGGTTGTAAAGTCTCTTTAGGTGAACTTGGCTGCTGTAGTCGGGTGCACCGGCTTCTCGGCTTCTCAGCTTCTCGTTTCTGATCACTGGCTCTGATTCAAGTTTCCATTCTCAGCAAAATTATATCCTCCAAGACTTGCATTTTTCAATTTGCAAGCACTTTCAAGCCGCTGTCACTGGCTCCTCAGAGGCAATTGCCGGAGGGCTCAATTCATAAAAGGTCCAGCTACTCAGTGAAGCCGGTTTTTTTTTTTTTTTTTAACTGCTTTCAAATGCTCCACCAGGAGGACTTTTCTTAGTCTAGTAAGTGGCTCAGGAGTGAAGGAGATACCCTTGTCAGGCACCTCATTCTGCTGTCCCCGAGATGCCAGCACACCCGGGGCCACGTTTTTCTTTTACAAGAAATGAAGTCAGTGTACATATACACTGTGTGGTCTGGCAGCCGGGGGTTTTTTGATGTCCCTACGTAAAGGATGATCAAAGAGGCTGTGGAATGTGATCCCTGCATTACTTACAAGTTTGGAAAATTGTCTCCAAATGAACTTTTCCTGCTGTGCATGTTGAACATTTCAGAAGGGGAGCTAGCCCTTGTTAACCCTTTCATGTGCTTGCTGCAGGAAGTGGCCAGAGAAAGCTCCGTGGTCTTTCAAATGTAATTAAGAGAATAAAAGCATCCTGCCCCGAGGCAGAACTCAGGAGCTGCTGGTACTTAAGAGTCTCAAGGTCTTTCCCAGTGACAGAGCCCAGAGGAAGGGAGCAGGAGCAGACTGGGGCTCAGGTCACAACTGGGGCAGCTACAGGAGGCATGCAATGGCAATTGGTGGCTTGATGGGGGGTAGGTTGACTGGGATCTCAGCTGTGTGATTTGTTCATTGTTTGAATGGACAAAAGGCAGTTTACCCAGGCTCACAGCATACCTGCCTGGGTGTCCAAATGTAACTAGATGCTTTCACAAACCCCACCCACCTCGCAGCACGTGTTTTTAAGTCTTCAGTGTTCTATTCACATCAGCCTCATAATACCCACCCTGACCTGCTGTAAAAGACCTGGAACATACAAAAAAAAAACCGATTACACCTACAGTGAGTATTTTCTTATGACTATTGCCCTCACATTTTACTGGGCATTTTCATGGGAGGCCAGACATCTGGAATCCATTGATCTTCCATTTATTTAAGATAAAAAGAAAGGTTTTTGAAAATGTGGAGTTGTGAATGACTTCTAAGTAAGAAATTTTTGAAAATTTTTTGGTTTTTTCTCTTCTGTTTCGGGTTATTCCCTCTTTGCTCTCTCTCATGGGCTTCCCTTTCTATTTGTTGCTTTTACGGTTGGCAAAATAAAAGGCCAAGGGAATGATGAACATATGGGGCCACTTGTTTAAAACTTTCAACTCCTCAGCAAGTTCATTATTGTTTTCTGTTTTGGGAACATAATGTGATAAATTTTCTGATTCTCTGTGGGTGTGCTGTGCTGGACTGTTTTGTGAACTAAAGGAAAATGCACTAAAGGTTCTACCTCATCCTAGAACTATTAAGTACTGATATTTATCTGAGAATACAACTTGGAGGGGAAAAAAATGAAAAAAAAAAAAACACAACATTAAAAAAAACTATTATTATTATTTTTTAAAAATTTCTGTGCTGGGGATTGAACCCAGTGCCTGGTGGATGCTGAGCAAGTGCTCTACCACTGAGCTATACCCCAGCCCTAAAAGAATCTTGAGTTTTTGATTGCTAGAGATTTACATGTATTGTTGGATTTAGAAGTGTGATACCAGAAATAACAATTAAAAATACAGTTTTGACATCTAATGAAGTGCCAAATTGACTAAGGATATAAGGTGAGTCATTTCCCCCTGGATTTCACAAAAAAAAATTGAAAGAACTTGAAGGCATTTATAGCTGCAGGTGCTTGGTCTTCAAACAGTGTCAGAAACTGAACAAAGAAGGGAGGGTAGAGAAAGGTTTATAGAATAATACTTTCTAGAACTGGCCTATCACCAGAGCATGGAGATACATTTTGTAAGATCAGTTACAGTTTGTTCTTTTACAAAGAGCCATGAAGTCCAGTTAGGTTAGATTTGTTGAGGTTGCCATTGGAATTACTGAAGTTAGGACTGGATGGTGATCTGCTTCCAGCCTTCCCAATGGCTCTAACTCTGTGGGGATGGAAGGTTTCCCTGCAGAGGTCATACTGAGAAAAGGGAACAAATGTTGGGTTTTTACCTCCTGCTCTATTTCATGTCCATTCATCATGATGATTTGAAAATAGAGGATGTTTTTCATCTGTAGCTATTTTATAAGCATTAACTAAATATTTACCTTATGTTAACAAGAATCAGGGGTTTGCCTCACTACCCTCCACCCACCCCACTTGCCGGCTGAAGGTCTGGCCACAAAATTGGAAATCTTAATTAGAATGATGGAGCAAACATTGCCACTGGTGCAGAACCATCTGGTTGAGAGTTCAGGGAGGACAAGGAGGGTGGTCAGAAAATAAATGACCTGAGTCCTTTTCTCCCAAACTGAATGGACCTGCCCTTACTGTGAGGTCTAATATATATATATATATCTCCAGCATAACCCCACAACCCTTTTAAGGGTAAAGGGTCCCTCACTTAACATTCTATGGTGGCTCCTTCCAGTGCAGCTGACAGTAGAGGTATCTGGGACAGGTGGAGCTATTCACTTTGGGACCCTTCCTGGAAGAAACCACAAGTATTTGTGACAGAAATAACAATGTGGGAAGTGTGGCTCAATGGTCACCTTATCCCTTTTCTACTTTGCAGAATGAGGACAGAGACTTGAGTCACAAGAATCCTGCTTTTTTCCAGGGCTGCCATTTAGCTGTCTATCACTGACAAAGTCATGAAACCAGGGGGCCCTCCTTAGATTTTACTGTAAAATGGATACAGTGACACAATAATCCCTCCAAGAGAATTCAGGTGACTAAATAAAAAGACTTATTCAGATTTTAAGCCCCGTGTCCTGTATGTGGAATGGACTCACTACCCATGTTGCCTTGATATTAGATTTGGGGTGGGGGACTTCAGAATGCAGAAAGAGTAGAATTTACTTAGTGTTTGGGCTCAGAAAACAACACCCCAGAATACAGTTCTTGGCACGCTGAGTATTGTAAACTAAAGGGAATTGAAAGGTCTCAAAAGCAAAGTCTCTCTGACCTTCCTCTGACCTTCTTTTACCTGTTCTTTATTCTCCCCCAAGTCAGACCATGGAAACTAGAAAAACTCTTCCCCCAAACCTGGAAATAAAGTTCTAACCTCCCCACCTCCCATCCCCCGATGGGGAGGAGCTGTCCAAAAAGAAACTTTGTGACTTAGGTTATCTGTCAGTACATTCATAGGACCCTTGACCCTATATCCAGGACATAGGAATGGTACATTTAGGGGCAAAGAAGAATCAAGACAGACAAACCTTGCTGGGTTTCCCCATCTCTGGCTGTGAGCACTAAGTCCTACCTTTTGCACAATCATATTTCTACCCAGCAATTCATACTTCATTTAACCAAAGTATAAAAGACAGTTTTCCTTGAGCCTTTGGGTCTTGCTTCTGTGACCTCCATGTTGCATAAAACTTCAACAAAATTAATTCTTTCTTTTGTGAACTGTCTTGAGTTCTAGGGATGTCACCTGTGACTCTTTTGATGAATGAGGGAAAGGATCACACCTTTCTGCCCTGACTTTGGCATGAGTCAATCTCACTTCTAAATCCTTATATTTTTCCTATTTCTGTTCATTGTTTTTCTTCCACTTGTGATTATGTTAACTGGTGATATTCCCCAGGTAAGAAATATCTGTATTCTCCTCCACCTTCGTTTCTCTCCCTCTCTTTCAAAGAAACTATAAAATTATATAACAATATGTAGAATTTTTACAAGTCCTTTTTTGGCCACAGTAAATTCTTCTTAATCAGTAGCTGAGGAATGATGTTCTGGTTCATTTCACATTCTGGTTAATAATTCATGGATGGCCAACTTTCAGAGAATTTGAATTAATAAAACATATTTGGCCACACATCCGTACTGAGCACAATTTAACCTTTGATAATGCAAAAGTTTTGCCTGATCTCAAAGTGGTGTGGAATCCCACTATAGCATCTTTCTTCTACAGAGTAAATGTTTGCAGATCTCTTATCTTAATTGCAATAGAAACCCATGGACAAGGGCTTCAGAAGGATTTCTCCAAGGATCTGGTAGCAAGGGGACTAAGTGCAGGTCATCACCTACAGGTCCTAGGTGTCAGGACCTGTAGGGGTCCATCACGCATTTTTTGTTGCACTTCTGGGCAAAGTGGTTCTGATTAATGAGGGCAGTGGAATGATGGGAATCAATGTGCTCTACCTGGACCCCACTCCCCTTTCAAGGATCAGGGAGAAAAACCTGACCACCTTCTGTTTCTTCGGCAGGTAAAGATGCACACCATGTCTTCTTCACACCTCTTCTACCTGGCCCTCTGCTTGCTCACCTTCACCAGCTCAGCCACAGCTGGACCAGAGACGCTCTGTGGTGCTGAGCTGGTGGATGCGCTTCAGTTCGTGTGTGGAGACAGGGGCTTCTATTTCAGTAAGTAGTCCTCCCTCTCCTCCTGCTGCTCAAAGTCTGAAGTATATGGCTCTGTGGATTTACAACCACAGGGAGTGTGTGAATAACTGAATGACTGCCCGTGGCTGGCAGTCTTCCTAGGCCTCCAAGATCCCTTTACCTTAAAGTAAGCAGGCTGTTTCAGCGGGGTTTTGGCAATTTTTGCAGAGTTAGGGTGGAACTTTCTGCCTTAACAATTTGTCTTTAACGATTTCCTATGGAGCCTTCCTTCATCTATTATGGTCTACTGTCATTCTTCTATTTATTCCAGAGAATAGGATAAAATGGCCCTAGCATAGTTAAGATCTTGTTTTGAAGACCTGTGGGTGCACATATAAACATACAGAAGATATATAGGTCTGTTTAAAGTACTAGGTGACTTGAAGGGAAATAGTAAGGACCCTCCATTCGTGTGGGTTTAGGAAAAGAACTATAGGGGCATATCCTAGGTGTCTCATGCAATATGAAATCACTGTGAACAGGCAGAAGGTGACCTTTGCTCAAAGACAGGTTTGCAAATACACAGGAGGCTTCCTCTAAATGCAAACTGAAATGTCATACCAGTTTGCCCTCTATGCCAAGTGACCTTGATTTTTTTTTTCTGTCATGGCTATTTCTTGGCACAACTCTTCCCTGGTACTTCCTAATGATAGCTCCATCTGGAAAAGGGTCTTTAATGAATGCAGAATCAGTTATCTTATAAGTAGGTCTCAGACAATTAGAAAGTTGACAGTCGTTAAAAAGTAGACAGCTGAGTCAATGTCTGCAAATAATAAACACAAAAGTCAATGGTACCTAAGGGAACTGATCACTTAAAAGATCTACCCCAAATGCATCTATCTCACTGTATATTACAAGACAGGGAAAGACTTAAAGCCAGATGCTCACTCTGCATAATTATTTGGAATTTTAGAGAGTTCCAGGAAACGGAGCATGAGTCATTCTCAAAGGTTGATATCACTCCAAGTGTAGACAGCTTACCTCAGTTACCCACTAAGCTTTGAATAGCTCCTGTGATGACTCACACGCTTGAAGCCTTTCTCATCTCCTTCCCAAATGTCGGCCTTTCTCTAGACAGGTGTGTGTGTGTGTGTGTGTGTGTGTGTAAAACTGGGGGAAGGGGTGGGTAGCACTCCAATCTGGAGCTGGGTAGAGGAAGTGGGAAGAAGGAGGCTGATAGGGACACTTGTACTTACCATGGCTTTGGCAAAAAATGACAGAGAATCAGAAGTGCTTTCTACTGTCTGGGCCATTTCCCATTAAGTGCTTTCCACCAGTATTTGAATTGAGTGAATTTATTTATTTTTCTGGCAATAAAGCAATTCTTTCCAATTTTCTGCTGCAAGGCCAAATGAATAAGTTCACTGGGAGGTGCTTTTCCAATGGCAGACTTGTTATAACTTTAGAACATCCAATGGAAGGTAAACATCGGACAACACAGCGACCCAACAATGGGTTGAAATTATTCAATAATTTGCTGCTACTGATCTGTATTTGTTTAAGAAAATAATTAGTTCTCTTTATGCCCAAGAGGATTTTTTTTCCTTGATAATCCATGCTTGCAATTTCCTTTCATCCAGTTCACTAAGTAATTGCCAAGTCTCTGAGTGCCCTCCGTTACATGCCAGGTTCTGATGCTCACTAGGGAAGGTCTGTGTGGATGTGTGGAAAGTAGATCCTTCTTCACCTATGAATGTTTGCATCAGAAGATGAAAATGCAAAGAATAGCTTAGTCCTAAGTAACTGTGATCCTTATGTATGTTCACACAGACACCTAAAGGTGACTATGTTGAAAAAACCAACCTCAAGTCTGAAAGCTTTCTTTTATTCTGTCACACAGTGACCATATTTTAGGGTATGTTTTAAAATTATGTTTTAATCACTTAAAAGAGAGAAAGTTACTTATTGCAACTCTGTGTGTTTAAAGTATGGCTAGAATGTGGCTTTATAAATTGTGTTATTATCAATCCTGTCATTAAGAGCATATATTTCATATGCTCTGCCTTATAGAATTCCTGATATAGGTTAATCACCTGCCTGACATAGTTCCTTATGCACAAAAGTATTCTCGTTAGCTTCTTTGTCTAAGAGATGTGTGTCAGATTCTATACCAAGCATGAATCAGATGCCTGAAAATGAATGAGAAATTGGCCTCGTCTTTGAGGGACTCACAGTTTAGTGGGAAGATTTAAAAAAATGTGCACATACATATCATCAGGAGTCATAAGAGAAAAAGAACCTTGGAAGAAGAGACTTTATCTTTGATGCCTTTCCTGAGAATTTTGTCTCATTTTTACCATCAATTTACCTGGTTCTACCTTATCATGAATAATGTCTTCTCAGTGGGCTACTTGTTGCAAAAGACCGTGTTTATTTACCCTTGAATTCCATTGTCTAGTTCAATGCCTCACTGATAAGACAGTTGCTTATATCTGATTCTTGAAAGGTTGGGACTGAATACAATTGATTCAGTCTGAATCTAATGAAATTATTTCTTTGGAATTTTAGTCCTAAGAGCCATCAGAACTTAGGCTTGGTTGTCGAGTACTTTGAACAATACTTCTTACCTCAAATGTTTACCCAGTTATTTAATAAACTGCTTTTCTTTCTCCCAATTGTTTATAACGTATATATCCTAACAAGGACTTAGAGGCTGCATTTTGGTCATCCCTGGGCTACATTGACGGTCTGTTTTGTGTCTGAGCCAATTATTTTTACAGGAATTAACTGTTGTCAACAAATTTTATTGAGTTTCCTTTTCATTCCCTGAGATTTACTGTGTGTGGAGAAGTCGGCTCTAAGCATTTACAGTCTTTGAAATACTTTTTAGAGGAAAGCATTCTTCCATACTTCTATCCCCTGTGAGTTGACACTTGTTATTTATTGTTCTTTACCCTTACTTTCAAAGTTTCATTGTGGCTGTATCTTTTATTTTAGGCTTCCTCAGCTCTACTTTAGAAGTATGGATTTTTCTTAATGGTGGAAGAGAGTTTCTGATCTTAGTTTGAAATTTAAAAGAAAATTGCCTCCATCTGTCTCTTATTCATTAATACAGAATCTTTAACAAGAAAAGTCTTTAAAATACTACTAGAACCGTTCTGAATAAAAATGTTGGTAATGCTTGTTTTGTATAAATTGACCCAGTATTATGAATGAGCTCACTTTCCCCTTCAAGCCCAAGTTCCAAAGGAGCACAGTAGAAGCAGCCTTCTAGTTTAACTTGTTTTGTGAACATTTATCCCAAGCCTAAGTGGATCAGTCCACCTATAATTAATGTAACATCCCCCAGACATTCTATGAAATGGAAGAGCCGATGAAGAACTAATTACGGATCCTTCCCTATACATCTTAGTAAGAGGGCCTGTCAATCAGCCTTTTGCTCTCAGGGTCCTGTGTGGAAAATGGTGGCATCATGGAGGTAAAGCACACTGAGCCAGAGATGGCTATTACCTTTGCAGACTAAAGAAGCCCTCGCCATGGGTGGCTCATTATAGCCTCCTTTTACACAGAACACAGCAATAGCTGAAATGAAGTGGGAGAAGTTAAGCTTGCCACAGAAGTCATTTTTGACAGCCACAGTGATGAGCCATTTTAGCATGCTGCTTAGGAGCTGGTGGAATTTTTCTTCTTGAAGATATTTTAAAAATGGAAGGGCAACCAACCATCTTGGATGGTTTCAATTAAGAGCAAGCGAAAGAAAGAGAGTTTCTGGGGTCCTTTTTAGTTTTAAGAGTCTATAAACAGTCCCTTAAATAAACTGTATATGCTATACCTCGGGCAGTCTGGGAAAAAGGAGAAGTAAATCAATTAGAAAAGAAAGTTGGATACCCTTTCAGCTATTCCAGATTTATGGCTTTTGTAAAACATACTTCGAATGCACAGTTATTAAGAACAGGTCTGAATAAACGAAAGACATTCTTCATGTGTTAAAACATACTGTTTCTAAAGAGTTTAAGTGAAACTTTGCAATTAACTTTCATTGTTATTGATTGCATAAACCTTCCTAGATTTCAGTTATTATTATTAACTCAAGCGTCTTTCCTTTGATATATAGTGTTCAGAAAACTTCTCCCAGACCTGCCATTCATTAGTTGTATGACTTTGGCAGGCATTTAAACTTCCTGGGCTGAAATGTCCTTGTTCATAAAACAAAGGGATTTTGTTGAGGTAAATGACTTCTACTAACATTAACAGATTTGTATTCTAGGTTGTAATCAGCAAGGTTCTATTCAGGGAAGGACAATCTTGGATTTAAGTAGTGACCAAAGAGCATTATCTTCTTTAGATAGTTTCTGTTTGTCCCCAAAGATAGGAGATACCACCCACTTAGAGAAAAAGGAGTCACCTTCTTTGTTTTAAGTTGGGCCTCAACCCCTTAGAGATGAAACAGAAATTCAGACATGGCCAAGTACTATCAGATCATCTACTCCAAAGAGTACATACCTTATGAAAACACACTGCCATTTTTCTTTGTTAGGAAGCATGACCTGAAGATTCTCATCTTTGCATTTTCTCATTTTCTTAGCTGTGAGGACAAATTAATAGGCTCCTTTTTAGCTGTGTTTTATTAAGTTAGAGGAGACAAGGATCTAATAGGCTTCTGAACTTCCACCAAAAGCCTTTCCCCAGTCTATGGATACTACCTTTCCAATGGAAGAAGAGAATGTACAATTTGGAGCATTCAGATGTACATTCACCGACTTTCAGCATTATTTTAAAGCAGACTGGATTTGAACTGTGCTTTTTGCATTCCTTTGCTTGATACCCCTGAGACTTCCAGGCATGCATTTGTGTGACTACTGGTCAAAATTAGGGGTACAACCACTAGCCATGGAAAAGCTATTCTCTTTGAAATAAGTTGGTACATGTGGAGTTTGACCTTATGGTCCTGGACTCATTAATACCACAATGTTTATAGGCCACAGATATTATCAAAGAAAAGCACTGGGTTTTTATATTGGCCCCAAAAGCTTGTTACTACT